TAAAGAAAAACCACTACTAACTGCGAAACAGAAAAAAAATCGATTAAGATAGGCAAAATAACATATGAGTTGGAGTTCTCATCAATGGAATGTAATACAATGGAGTGACGAGGCCAGATTCGAAGTTTGTGTTGGAGATAGCAGAAGTCGAGTTATTCGCAAAAAACATGAAGCATTCCATCCAGACTGTCTCAAAAGAAAAGTAAAATTTCCCGCATCGGTCATGGTCTGGGGCAGCATGACATCTAAAGGAATAGGGAAACTGCATTTTATATATAAATATATATAAATAAATATATAATAAATATTTGGACATTTTGGAGGAATCACTTTTACCGACTATTGAATTATATTTCACATCAGGGAAAGATTTTGTATTTCAACAGGATGGAGCAGGATGTCACACGTCAAAAGAAGCTCTAAAATGGATGAAAGACTTCGGTGTTCCACTTTTGGAATGGGTTTTAGTGGTCCTGATTTATTACCAATAGAAACGTTGTGGCAAGAGATGAAAATGGCACTTCTAAAACATCCTGCAAGAACAATACCTTAACTTAAACAAAAACTTCAAGATATATGGGATTCGTTTACACCAGAATTTTGCCAAGGCTTAGTTAATACCATGCCGCAAAGAATTTCAGCTGTAATAAAAAATAAAGGTGACGTTACTTAATGGTAAACTTTAAAATTGATTAACGTTTGATTCCAACTATCTTTTTATTTTTTTAAATTTTATGTTAAATAAATATTTTAATGTTTTCTACATATTTTTTGGGATTAAACGATATTAAACATATTGTTCAACGAATAAAAATTGGAAAGTTCATGCAATATTTATATTTGTAATCTTTAAATACGAATTTCCTAAATTTCAATAGGTGGGCCAACTGAAATGGGAAGGGGCTCGTATATGATTTACTAGAAAAAAATTAAATTGCTATCACATTTTCTTAAAAAAAAAAATGTTTTCCATAATGCAATAATAGACCCTAAAGATTTGATCAACCATATTAAATCAATCAATATCTATTTATCAATCAACAAATTGCCATTTGAACCAATTTTAAACAATATACTTACATTTTAAAAAAATAGTGCAGATTAAAAGTTATAGCAAAAACAATAAAATTAATTTTATCATAGAAATACCAGTTGTGGATTATGCCAAATTCAAAATTCCTTATCCTGCCAGTGGTCTGCAAACTTATTAGTCCAGAGAGTCAAATATCAATAGTACAACAATTAAAATTTTTTTAAGAGCCATTTTTTTAAACTAAAACTATATAGGTAGGTATATTGTTATTAATTTAAATAGGGTTCTTTGCTAAAAACGTCCTCAATCTGATTGAGAAACTTTAGATGAGGCCCACTTCTTTCAACTATTAACTATCCCATTTATACTTCTCATGTAAATTTCTTTCGTCTCTCTCCTTCAGTTCATCCTCTATATTTTTTCGAACCATCTCAACATAATCATCGACACTAAATCTTCTTTCACTCCACAATGAGCTCTAAAATTAACTTAGACCCGTATTTATAAACAAATACGGGCCTTAATACACTTTAAAGTTTTAGATTTTAGTTAAACTACAGGTGAGTTGAATAAAAAGATATCATACATAACGATATTATTTATTGATTGAATTAAATTTATCCATAAAATTATTAAATAATGACAATGACTGACAAATACTAATGGGAACAATGGCCTTGCATCTCCTTGGAAAGTTTGGGTAAGTCAGGTTTATATGTTGTTGTTTTTAATTTTAGACAGGATTCCAGGTTCTTATCAATAAGACGACTTCTCAGTTTATTCTTGATAAGGTTCATGCTTGAAAAAGATTGTTCGCATGAATATGTGGATCCGAATAAGGAAAGATTAGCAAATGCTAATTTTTTCAACCAATCATATAAATCAGAAATACTGTTCCAGGTGTTAAAAATCAACATATCTTCCTTCTCCAGGTTTTTCAGAGCAGATCACTTGTGCTATGAAATAAGTTCACATTTGTTTTTCTCCAATATTTCTATATCAGCACAAAGACGTTCAAATTTTGAACTTCACAATTCTTTGTTTTTTAAATCCAGCAATTGAATTTCAAAGTTGCCAATGTCAATATTAAAGGGATAAAAATTTAATTCTGATACTGTCGCATTAAGAGGTTTGTTAACAAAGGCTAACGACGGTTTGCTGTTTTTGAATTAGTAAAACCTATTAAGAAAAGCTTCTCTCATATTTATAAGTGTTGTTTTGAAATAAATGTCAATATCAGAATTATTTTGTTGCCAATATCTCAAGAAGCTTGGAAAGTGAATTTAAAGTTCCTCTTTCAAAATCTTGAACAAAAAGAGATAATTTGTTTTCGAATGAAATAACTTCTTCTAGCATAAAAAAAAAAGTGTTTTCTATCCACTGCAGTTTACGATTAAGTTGATTTAGATGAGACGTAACGTCTGCCATAAAATAAAATTTTTGGATCCACTGGTCGTTCGTTAATTCTGTTAATAAAGAAGCGAAACGTTTTAAAACATTTCCTCTTGATAACCAACGTACCTTATTAAGCAGCAGAAGATCTGCTTACTCACTTTCCATTTCAACTATAAATTCTTTAAATTGGCGATGATTAAGAGCTTTCGCTATAATGAAGTTAATAATCTTAATCCCAATTCCATAACTTTGCAAATTTCTTCTGAAAATGTCTGCGCACAAAGCGCTTCTTGGTGAATGATGTAAGTATCTCGTAATTAATTTTTTCTTTTAAAATAGTAATGATAATGCAAAGATAAAAGTAGGAGACAAAAGTTAATATTTAATTCTTCTGAAAATATTTTCCTAATAAATCGCTTTAGAGCACTCGCCTGAACATAAAGACACAAAAATAACTAAGTATTTAAAAATAGAAAGAAGAAAAACAGTCATCACGAAGTTTCAATCGCACTGTACGTGCAGCGCCCGCACGTAGTATTTTATGGAAGAGCCGCATTCAGGCGGCCGAAGAGCCGCATGCGGCTCGCGAGACGCGGTTTACTGACCTTTGTCCTAAACAAACAAAGTTTTATGTCATTTAATTCAGAATATCAAGAATTTGGCAAACAATAATTAATTTGTCACAAATCAGTAACAACTCCAGTGCTCCCTGCGAAGTATCATTGTTGAGATTTACCAAGAATCTCACCAACTGACAAAACAATCCAATCCAACATTGTGAACATAAAAATTCAAAAAATATGTCAAAAAAATGGATGATTGTTTCATATAAGAACACAGTAGCCCAAAAAATGTTCGGAGAAGACAAAGTCCCATTAGAAGGAACATTTTTGTCAGGATTAACCAATAAGTGCAGCATTAGAATAGATAAAATAGTTCTACGTAGCAATGAACTGGCAAAAAGTGAATTTAAAATAATTGAATTTCCTAAAGTTAATATTAAAAAGACTAATAATAAAAATCCCATTTACCTTAAAAATATTAAAGTGAACAAACACTATGATTTGGACCAATTAACCATTCTAAAAGACTCTAAATGTTCAAAAATAAAAAGTAACACATTTTTAATAATCCAATCCATTTTAACAATATCAGTGTTTGGACTATATTGATTTATATTTTTATTGTATTTTGTTTGCTATTTAGTACTTGTATTCATATTAAAAATATAGGAAGAATACATCGACAAAAAGCTCCAAGGAAGAAAATCCAGAGGTCAGCTACTGAATTATCCTCAACCAGTGGAAGAGTTATGATAACACAATCGTAACGAGTACAACTAGAAGTATGCAGACGCTACAAGTCCAAGATAAGGTCCCACCAAGATCTAGCGGCTATTAAACTAGTTCGTTGCCGGCATTTTCTAGCATTTACATTTTTATTTTTATATTGTTGAGACTTAAAATAAAGTTTTGCTTTTTGTAAAGTTTTGTCAGTTTTTAAAAATCAATTTTTATTAGCGAACCTAAAAGTTCTACGATAAATTATATATTTTTTCAACTCCCTGGAATTTTTTTGGTGACAATATACGGAAGAGTGACGTCAAATTTAAAATCTACTACAAAAATTTCATTCGCATAAAATATCGTTTTTCTTCTCTATAAATAAACCAACACAAATATGATGCTAGAACTTAATTTTTGTGCCAAAACGCAAGCGGTGGGAGACTTACACCGGGCTTATTTATCGCCACTGTACAATAGAAAGTCGATATAATTTATTGTTGATACAGGAAAAACAAACAGTTGAGTGGTAACAGAGCAAATGGGGAAAAGTATAAAATGGGGCCATAAAATTTTATTACAGCGACAAAAGATAATTCTTTTATGTTTTAATTCCTTACAGATGTTCACAGTTGTGTTAACGACATATTCAATATAACTTTAAGGAAATGTAACAGATTTTCTATCATGTTTCATATAATTTTATTCATATTGTTGCCTTGTTTTTTTGAAAGACGAGTTTCAAATTTAATGTTACAATTTAACCCAACAACTACAAATTTATTGCTTTCTAGTCATTTTTACTAAAATTATTTACATGCAAGTTATTCTATTCTCTATTAACTCTCTTATTATATACTTAGTATATTATTCTTGACAAATTTTCGCACCAAATATTTAACTTATATATTGTTATCACTCTAAACTTATATTCCTAGCATTTAACTGAGCAGGATTAAAATATATAGCTCAGTAACCTATATTTTTATTATTCAAATTTCATTTGGAGAATATATGTAATGGAAACTCTATAAATCCGTTAGAAGACAAGGTCAGATAAATCAATATATCTTATGAAGTAGGTAGGGTATTGGAAATATGGAAAGAATAATGATCATACATATTAAAAGAATTATTGAAATATTATATTTAATATTGGATATAGAAAACTATTCTTATGTCTAGATTTTCAATAAAATTATAAAGTTTATTGACAAATTTTTAATAAGAAACATTTGCCCAATTGCATTCTCTTTATTTTATTTTTTAGTCAAATAATTGTTACTTACTTGTTCAGCAGCCAGTTGTTCCCTAGCTAACTGAAGTTGCGCCAAAGCAGCTTGAGTCTGTTGAGTTTGTTGTTCAAGTTGTTCCCTCATCAGTTGCAACTCGTGATGGGTCGACAACGCACTTCCGGGAGGAGGTAAACTTCCTCCACTCTCAGCGCTTCCTGTGGTCGTGAGTCCATCACTGTGTGGGGAGGAATACATTTCTGCTGAAGTCTATAATATGATAAAAATAAATAATATTAAAAGATAATTTTAGTTATTTGTAAGTACTTATTTTAGTACATCTTGTTTTATTGTCAAATTTTTACCCATAATTTTGAAATGGATTCAGTTTTCTGCATCTTCTTCCACCTAAAAAATAATGCAAACTAATTAGTACTCTCACAATCAGTGTATATTGTATATTGACCAACTAATTGATCAAGTAGGTAAGTTTTATTAATTTATATCACATTGGAAACAAAAACAATTCAAGATTATCTTTACTTATATCGAAATAAATACAAAAACACGATGGTGGTTTGTATTTTGCAACAGCCCTTAGTACACTATCGTTTTTGAATGTCTAGGTCTAAATTATGAGGAACTTTTATAAACATTTTATCAGATTGGCTGGTTTTTTTTACTTCTCATAGGGACGAAGTACTTAACCAGATATTTATAATGTAACGCTAAATTAAATAAATGTTTATTTTATTACACTTTTTAAAAGCAATTTCAGTGTTTTCCACAATCAATTTAAGGTTAGAAATTTCGACATTTTAGTATCCAGAGTCAAGAGAAATGAAAACATATTTTTTAATCCAATTTTAAAAAGAGATAACTATCATAAATGTCACTATTAGAAAAATATAATGGTCAACTGTATGTGTTATGGTATCACAGATTCTTCATTGACCAATAGAAATAGGAGATTCATTGAGATGCGGTAAACAGCGCAAAAATAGAGTGTTTTAAATAAATGATTTAAAAGTGACCTTTTTAAAGTACTTTATTATTTATTATTTATTTAAAGTTTTTTCTGCTTAAACAGTTAATAGCTTTAGATTTGTTAAATTCGTTTACACTAAACACGCCCATTATGTTTCTCATAATTTTTCACAATTTCTTATCTTTTCATTTGTTCAGCTCTTCACCACTTAAAAATTGTTTCCCGAAACCTCTCTTTTTATTGAATCTTTAAATTACTCTTGAAAAAAGTCGAAACAACATATCTATCTAGTAGTGTTGTACAACAAGTCAGAAAAGGTTTTGTTTAATAATGTTACATATTTTACTTTTTCTACGTCGGCTTATTATTTATTGAACAAACATTTGCCATTTGTAAAAAATGTAGTCTCCGATATTTTTTTTATTAAATAATTTTATTTATTTTGTTTTTTTCTAATATTTTCGATCGATATTAAGAATATTTAAATCTAAATCGTGGTTAATAAAACAAATAAAATTTAAAAAACGGGAAATCATGAAAAATCGTACTTAAATTAGTTTAATAAGCACAAACAAATATCGCCTTATAATTAAAAATAAAATATTATTCTGGTAATATTAGCAGTATACAAAAGAGGGGCCATGGGAGCCAACCCCGACAGTAAAATTCTTACAATCCATATTCCTTTTAATTAAAAAAGTATTACAAAAAAGGAAATGGCTAATGGCAATGGCCCCTTCAAAAATTCGGCCTGTGCCCTTAATACAAGGTAGAATTGCGAAATTTTACATGGAAAATAATCAATTTTGTTGCAATATTAGTTCAGTATTACCTCTTTAAGAATACAACGCCAACTATAAACCGAATTTTGTCGAAAATGGAAATGGAGTTTTGAAACCGCACTCAATTTTACTCACGTACATTTTACGAGAAAATATCAGAATTACATATTTCAGGGCAACACAGCCTAATTAATTAACAAAGCCAGATTTACATAATCTCATAATAATACTCTTCACACAGTAGTAATTTGAAAATGTCGGTCCATCGGATGTCACGATTTTGTCCGCACGATAAGTCAAAAAAAAGCTTTATAAGGGGACGAAGCCTATCGTTTAAAAAAAAATCTCAATAAAAATAGGGGTTAAAAATTCCGAAATCAAAAAGGAAAAGCGATATCAACATGATTTTTTTTTTAATTCAAACTAATTAAAGAAATAAAACCTAATAATTCTGAAAAAAATCTAAGTAAAATTGGGGGTTAAGAGGGTTGAAATATTAAAAAAATTCCTAACTTAGAAACAAAAAAATATATCAACTAGATATCTTCAAAAAAATTAAGCTCTTTAAGAAAACCAAGCCTATTAAATATGAAAATATCTGATTAAAAAGCTGGGGAAAAACGATATCAATTTGAAATTTTCAGGAGAACTTCAGCTCTATAAGGGCCTATGAATAAAAATGGGGGTTCAAAGGGTTAAAATTTTAAAAAATAATCATAAATTAATAACGAAAAGCGACATAAACCTGAATTTTTAGTAAACATTAAGCAAGGTAGCCAATAGTGCGGACCCACTACTGCAGCTGGTTCGAGATCATGAAACAACTGGTATCGGGGCTTTTCTTTTTAAGATTGCAGGTAAAGCTGCGTGTGAACTAGGTCTCAGATTTGAAATAGATGACAACCAATCTCTTACAAGATTGAAACCTGCTCAATTAAAACGTCTAGTTAGAGCAGCAGAACAACAGTTGCTCTTGGAAGATCACGTCAGCAAACCCCAACACGGTGTTTTTTACAGGAACATAGAAGATCTTAATCTATCTCGGGAATTAACTTTCTCCTTTCTTCGATCAGCTGACTTGAAGTCAGTCTGAGACAGAGGGATTCTTGTTAGCTTGCCAGGATGGCGTAATGAATACTCTCGTATACCGCGCTTAATTTAAGCATGTGTCCGATGTCAGATGCAGAACATGCCAACAATACCCGGAGACATTAATGCATCTTTTGTCTGCTTGCCCGGTGCAAGCTGTATCTGGGTACATCTACAGACACAACGCCGCATTGCGAGTTCTCTACTATCATCTGAGACATCACTCCGGTATAGATGAGACCCCAGTTCTGCCATACGCCCCAGACGAAATTGAAGCGGTAGTGGAAAATAACATTTGTCGTATTTATTAGAATTACGCTTTTCCCACAACATCCAGACTCCAAGCTAACAAGCCCGATTTGGTGCTGTTGGACAAGCAGAGTCATTCAATGTTTGTCATTGAGTTTTCTGTACCAGCTGAAACCAACATTCTTATTAAGGAGAGGGAAAAGCGTCCCAAATACATTCCACTGATTGGCGAGTTGCAAAGAATGTATCCAGAATATAATGTACGAATGATAGTCCTAATTGTGGGTGTTTTAGGGGGAATCAAGGACACTATGCTCACGGAGCTACCGGCTTGCCGTGGCCCATCAAGACAACTAGTGGTAAAGATGCATAAAGCGGTAGTCCTTGAGTCCCTTTGTCTTTTGAGGTAATTGAATTTGGCCGAAGATCACTGACCGAGAGAATGTAAGGAGTGATCTTCTCAGCGACCCGGCCTTTCGCGTAATGTACTGGGTGTGTTGAGGGCCGCCGAGAGCCAGGCCGGGCCCCAGGACAATTCTGTGGATCGGGCCTCGTAACAAAAAAAAGCTCCTCAAACAAAAACTTTTCCTCTTCTACTAAAAAAAAAAAGCCCCTCAAGCAAAAATCTTTTCCTCCTCTACTTGAATTGCTTTCTCTGAAAAAAAAAAACCTCCCCAACCAAAAACTTCCCCACTTCTCTTCTGTCGGATTTCTCATACAAAACAAAAAAATCCAGTTGCCGGGCCTTCATTTAAGTATTTGAGTCCTTATCCCCGGGAATCGGTCCCGGCTACCCCCTCCCTCTAGTCGGCCCTGGGTGTGTTGGAGGTCCAGGAACGTTGCGACGAATTTTTTTACACATAATAATAATAATAATAATAATAAAAGGCCTTTATTTGTACAGGATTTATCTTAATATAAATAGAAAATAAAATATATTGAATTAACAAAAACGATACTTTTATTATGAGGGCTTTGTTAATTAATTAGGCTGTGTTGCCCTGAAATATGTAATTCTGATATTTTCTCGTAAAATGTACGTGAGTAAAATTGAGTGCGGTTTCAAAACTTTATTTCCATTTTCGACAAAATTCGGTTCATAAATGGCGTTGTATTCTTCAAGAGATTTTATTTATAATACTGAACTAATATTGCAACAAAATTGATTATTTTTCATGTAAAATTATAGGTTAAAAACAGCTACTGCATCAAATTTAGCAATTCTACCTTGTATTAAGGACACAGGCCGAATTTTTGGAGGGGCCATTGCCATTAGTCATTTCCTTTTTTGTAATATTTTTTTATTAAAAAGCTTATGGATTGTAAGAATTTTTCCTTCTGGGTTGGCTCCAATGTCTCCTCTCTTGTATACTGCTAATATTACCAAAATAATATTTTATTTTTAATTATAAGGCGATAGCTGTTTGTGCTTATTAAACTAAATTAAATACGATTTTTCATGATTTCCCGTTTTTTAAATTTTATTTGTTTTTCTAACCACGATTTAGATTTAAATATTTTTAATATCGATCAAAAATATTAGAAAGAAACAAAATAAATAAAATTATTTCATAAAAAAAATATCGGGGACTATATTTTTCACAAATGGCAAATGTTTGTTCAATAAATAATAAGCCGACGTAGAAAAAGTAAAATATGTAACATTTTTAAATAAAACCTTTTCTGACTTGTTGTACAACACTACTAGATAGATATGTCGTTTCGACTTTTTTCAAGAGTAATTTAAAGATTCAATAAAAAGAGAGGTTACGGGAAACAATTTTTAAGTGGTGAAGAGCTGAACAAATGAAAATATAAGAAATTGTGAAAAATTATGAGAAACATAATGAGCGTGTTTAGTGTAAACGAATTTAACAAATCTAATGCTATTAACTGTTTAAGTACAAAAAAATTTTTTTTATGCAATAAATTCTTTAAATAAATAATAAATAATAAAGTTATAGAACTTTAGAAAGGTCACTTTTAAATCAATTATTTAAAACACACTATTTTTGCGCTGTTTACCGCGTCTCAATGAATCTCCTATTTCTTTTGGAGTGAGGGTAGCCATATGTGAGTAGTAGGGATTAAGTGTAAAGGTTAATATTGACTTGTGAGAAATAAAGAACCTTTACACTTAATCTCCTATTTCTATTGGTCAC